GGCCCGGCGGAGCGCAGCGGGGCTGGCGGCCCAGGAGCCCCGCCGGGAAGCGCAGCCGCCGGCCGTGTGCGCCTCGGGGCTGCGCGCCCCGCGTCTCGCAGCGCCCTGCAGTAAGTGCCTGGGACGGGCTCTCGGTAACTGCGGCACGGCCCCTCCGCTCCCCAGCGCGGCCCCGAATCGGACCCSGAGTGCGGGGTCGGGGGTCCCTCGCACCCCGACTTCCAGCTGCGCTCCTGTGGATCACCTATAGCCACAACCACAGCCATTTTGTTGTCCAAATACTGCCTAATCTGTAGTAGGCTTCGTCTGTTTGCAAATGGGATTTTTCTCGTTTTGGTGTTCTAGGCTACGGTAAGCCAGCTCTCAGCTCGCAAGTCCGGCTTCTCTCAAACAATACTGAGGTTTTCATCTCTTTCTACATAACCGTAGATGCTTTTAATTTAGGACAATGTCATTTTTGCTTATTTCTTCATTGAAGTAAGAATAGAAAACCACCGTGAAAATTACTATACTCAATATACCTGATCTAGTAGCTTCAGCATTAGCCTGTTGCTTCAGCTCACATCTCTTAAACATAAACGCCTCTGGTGAAGGACTTGGTTTCATTTAAGCAGCCTCACATATCCCATATGTAGGATCTTTCATAAGGCTCTGCAGCCCCATTAGGGGTGCTGATGACTGAAGTTTATGGTTCAATGAAGACTTCTCAGTGGTGATGTGAGCTTTGCATGGTCCCATCCTGCGTCTTTTCCCAGACACCTCGTTCACTTTTTGGTGGTTCAAACCATTGTGAGGCAATACTGAAGTAGAGCATGGAATTAATCTGGACTCAAAAAAAAAAATATTTCAGGCCTGCTCAGGAGTTGGAGCTGTGGCCAGGTGAGCAGGACAGGAGTTGCTGAAGTCAACACTGCTGCCTGTCAAAAAGTGTATGGTGCTGCAGTCTAGAATGGATTTAAGTAAATTTTCCACTGTTTCATTGAGACTAGGCTCATTACARTGCTAAAATGGATAAATTTTTGGGGAAAAGGACAGACACTCTTTGCCTTACATACACTGGCAACACACTCTACCCCTTCCAAAAAGTAGCTGGAATGTTCAAGTCCCATCAGTACTACCCAGAGGTGAGCCTAAAAGCTTTCCTTCCATATGGCCTAGCCAGAGTGCCACTAGTCAAGTAAACATTAGCTACAAGAACTTCAGTCACATTRTCAAAGTAGCAGAGCTCACAAAACCCCTCAAATAAAAACCAGGCAATCACAGCAGGCGTGTTAGCAGACATAAGATGCATGACCTTAGATATACCACATGGGGAATTTCCAGAAGCAGGAAGGGTAGTTGTGGTGTAATAAAAAGCCCTGGCAATATCTATTCTGGAGTATTAAGTAYGTTTCTATCCACCAGTTAAAATTAATCTTCTACCCCCCAAGAAAAAAAGTGTGGGAACGCTTACCAGAAAGATCAGAAGAATTRAGATTCTATCACATGAGAAGAGTTTGGCTTAGTCTAGAAAATTCAGCTGGTAGTGGATATGTTTAATGTTTTTAATTTTAAGGACACATAATCATGAATGAAGAAGAAAAAACAGAGAATAGATATAAACTGCTTATGTTGGGGTTGCCCAGTATACTGAAAAACTCTTTGGTCCGGAATAGCAAGATGGAAATCCTTAGAAGGAATGATAAATGACATTATGTTGATAGTCAACCATGTTTTACACTTGTGTTCAAATTCACTGCAAGATAATTGAGGAAATGTCTTGACAGTGGCCAAGTGATCTCACACTTAGAGAAGTCAAACTGCACAGCTTGCACCACAACACTGGTGTGATTACTCAAGATGTGTATCTGAAGACAAGATAAGAAAGAAAGGCGTGTGAGCACCCAGGAAATCCCCATCAATGAAAACCAACATAAGATTTCAGGGAAGTATGGATGGCCAAATGTCTAACTAATATTAAACACTACCACAGGATACACAAGTAGTAAAGTAATTCTTAACCATAGAATTGAGAAAAAAAGGGAGGGGGAAAGTATTTAATACAAGCTGCCTCAAACCAAGCACAAAAAAAATGAAGAAACTTTCCAGCTTTAACACATGGCGCTGATCTACATGCTGCTTACCATGACACACTGCAGAATTACAGTCTAAGCTCTTAACAGAAACAGACCATATGAGGGAAAATTTGCATAAAATCAAAGATTCAAGATGTACCAATTCTTTCCTAAAAAGAAACAAGCCAATTTAAGAGAAAGGTTTCCAAAGCCCTCCCAAAAGAATTTCTCCTCCCTACCATATGCATTCAAGAGCAACATTATCATTAAACAAATGGTTCTACAATCAGAATCATACAGTCATTTAGGTTGGAAAAGACCTTTAAGATTGAGTCCAACCATTAACCCTATTCCATCACTGGATCATCAGTGTCCCTAAGTGACATATCTGCACATATGCCCAATTTTCCTGTTGGGAACAAAAGATCAACATCTTTTGTTTGAAGAGTGAGTTCTGCTTTGATTACATCTGTGCTGCCTCTGTGATCTGCACCAAGAAATAACCCCATCCCTGAGCTATCAGTTTGTCCCCATTGGCTTGTAGGGTGCAAGTCCTGAAGCTGCAGAAAAGTATCCTCTCTTCTACACCAGGACTTCTCCCCAAGARCACCTCTGATTTCACTCTAGACTGKTGCCAAATAAACTAATGTATGTTGCATGGACAGCTGTGCATTGTGCTCCAGAGCCTTGTAGCAAAATTGGAAGAGAGCTGATCTGACATCTGATCCTAAACATTTTCCCGTTGTTGGGACTATATGTAGTTCTGTCTTGTGTATGTCAACTCGAGCTGCAGCTTTATCGTATCAAGAACATTCAGATGGTTTCTTCTTCCCTTCTCATGGCATTTGCTTGCACAAAATTTATAGAAAGACAATCCTATTTAAGACTTCTAATCCTCTTTCAAATTTATTTTTATTAATCAGTGGGGCCAAAATTTATGGGAGAAGAAGAAAAAGGTGAGGGAAAGGCACAAACATGGTCACAGAAGACTTATTTCCATAGGAAATCAGTAAAAGAACTGCACATGAAAGTATAGATTAAACATTCTCCAGTTTTTTTCCTACCTGCTCACCAATGCTGAAATTTAATTCTTCTATGACTTTGAACCAAGTCACTCTGCCATTCTTCTATGACCTTGAACCAAGTCACTCTGCCACAGAGAAATAATTAAGTCAGTTAGGAAAAGTCCTTTTTTCCCTCCCTGTCCCTGAGGATTTTTTAATTTGAATTGCCAAGCAGAAGCTTCCTTTTACTATGTGGTTTTTCAGAATTCAGGGTAATGCAGCCTTGATTTTAGTTGCAGYGTCCAAATACTACAGTGATCCAATCATTACATGGTATTAAAAAAATAATAAACTATAAACAAATTATGACCTTTCATTAATAAATGGCAAAATACAATTAAAACCTCAACTCGCATCTTTGAAATCCATATATCATTGGTCTTTTAATAAGATGATCTCGAAATGCAAGCTTTTTGCTAAGTAACCAGAAAATAAAAATCATATGTTCCCATATCTACTTTTTAGAATTATACTTAAAGACTTAAGCTTTATAAAAGCACAGTTAAAGTTGTGATATTAGAAAAGATCCAAAGCTGCATATCAATCTTTGGCTTATTTGGAGATCAAACCAACATTTATATAATTTTCAGAATCTGAATGTAAAACAGCAATTCTCACGTGGCTATCAGGAACATCATATGTAGTCACCATGTACAAATAAATAATGAACATAATTTAACTTCAACTGTACTGCCATACAGGCAAAAAACCATGAGAGTGCTGAGGGTGCATGTATATTCACAACAACAAAATCACATATACCTGGCAATACGTGCACCAGATGGCTTTAAAATTGCTACAAAACTATTATTAAAAAACCCAGCTGTATAAGGCTTCAATATAATAACAAGATTATAAACAAATGATGCTTGTGACAAAGAAATGATTTAAGTATTTTGGCAGGAGATGCATTAGTACTTCCCAGGATCCTGTTGTGCAATGGATTTACCACAATAGTGCTTTTGTCTTATACAGCAGAAATTATTACATAGCAGACAGTTTTATGAACACAGGTATCTACTTTGGTGGGAGTGGAGCAGTAAATGAATCACAAGATTTTCTTACAGATAGTCAGTGATGGGGTTTGCATAAGAAAACACCAATGAAGTAGTTGGCTGTCAGTCACAGGGGCACAGAAATTTCAATCCTCCTYAAGCATTTTGAGGAGTGCAAAACAAACTGGTGCATTTACTTGTGTGCAAACGTTTTTATAGTGAATTTTTACACTCTTGCTGATTATAAACCTATAGATTATCTATTTGCAGTCTTGCTTTCCACAGTGGATAAATGAACTTTCTATTTAATACTACAGCAACCTGAGAAGTTTGTATAGAGAAGGTGCAAAATACACCAAGTARATAGTCATGTGTTTCTCCATCAAAACTGATTATGAATTTTTTTTAATACAATGTAACATTCTAGTATGGTACGCAATAATTAAAGTAGCTGAATTCATTAAATAAACTGGATACTTTTTAAAAAGTCCTATATCTAGGTTTCTGCAAAAATATGTATGCAGGATGGCCATTAAAACAACCTATCAGTTGGCAAGGCAAATGTAGAAGCCACTGTGAGCCAGTCTCCCTAGAGCATCTCTGGCCAAAAGTGCAGTCCCTGTACTATTTCTGATCTCTTTGTAATTTCAGAAGGTGTCTCAAACACTATGTGAGTACCATCATAGAAGACTTGAGCTGGAAAACTGTATTAAGTAGACATTTATAGCAGAGAAATCTATTTTTAATGTTGTCTGAAATAACACAAGAAAAAAAATCTGAATTATGCTTTCGGTTCCATCTTAGCCAAAGAAGCCAGCACCTAAAAAAGAAATGGTCAGGAAAAATGGAGAAGTGAAAAAGAAATTCGAAGTGAGAGACTCTTGTATCCCAACAAAAACATATTTCTCAAAAAAAAAAGTTGCAAATTGCTTCACACAAAGCAAAGCAATGCTTGAAACACTACACCAGCACTAATCAGATGAAATGGGAAATCAAAAGAGAGGTGTATGGCATAAATTTATGAAAAGACAATGCAGAGTTAAGCAACTAATTACATTGGRCTCTGGGAAGTTTAAAGAAAAAAAATGCTACCCCAAAAAAAAGGCTATGAACTAGAGATGGAAATCAACAGTTACTGCACATTTCAAACCCAAGAGAGTTATGCAAGCACTGTGAAAAAAATTGCACATCCTTTGGCTCCAGTGCCTAAAAGTTTGTTCTAAACAAATTTTCTCAACTGTTGGTTGTCATCTAGATGCATTAACCTACTACAGTACTGTCTTTTCAAAAAGATAATTTTTCTTCTGTACTTCATTACCATTGCTGGAGTATTTCTGATACCAAAGCTGGCAATGGTAACTATCAGTGTACAGTTGGGCATCTTCCTACGATGCAGACATGTATCTTCACTGGACACAAAGACTTACAAATTGCTTCTGAGAAGCAAAACAGTTTCTTTTTCTTTGYTGCAACAGTTTCCAGTCCTGTTCAGCAGCAGGCCAGGAGCCTCTTAGAATTCAGTTTCAGACCCATCTAAATTGCCAGTATTTTCTGTCCCTCGAAAACATTTCCCGTGTCCTGACCTCCACCAAGCACCTGAACATCCAGTCTCAGTGCTGTASTATAACCTGTATGAAACAGGGGTCTCAAACGCCCTTCTTAAAATATACTACCCAGAGTCCCTTGTCTAACACTTCATCCTCTGCCCTTGTGTCAAGAAACTGAGGATTTGACCAGGTCAGAGGAGTGCATTCACTGAAGAAGAGTGAGGACTAGAGTGTATGTTTTGGAAATTGGATGACATGAATGACAGGTCAAAGAGTACTTGACAAGGTAAAATTCAATTTGCCTATATTGACAGGTACTCAGGAAAGATCACAGAAAAATTGTTTTAAAACATCCTCATTACATCTTTCTGTTTCTTAAAATTATTAAATATATCTGGCACTGGTACAGCAAGTTGCTTCTATTTTACTTATATTAAATTTTTATCAATTAATATTTATTGGTTTTGTTTGTTGTTTAGTTTGGGGTTTCTGGTGGGTTTTTTTGTTTGTTTTTGTTTTTGTTTGTTTGGGTTTTTGTTTGTTTGTTTTTGGTGGTTTTTTTTTTTTTTTTTAATTTGAAAGAAGATTTTTGGTAAATCATAGTAATAATAATATTTTCAAAGGCCATATCCAGACTTTAGGGAAGGCTCTTAACAATCCAGTTTTGACAGGAAGGAAGAGACTTGTAGGAGTTCCRTGCATTTTTGCAAGATACAGCAAAATTATTTAGATTTTGAGATACAAAACCACTCAGGGATGGAGAAAGTTACCTTGCCTTGGTATGAAATCTGCATTCAAATAGCGTGCTGCTTTCCTGTGCTTTGCTCTCTCACAATGCCCGTGTGAATAACCAAAAACCACAAAACATTAGTCCCTGAAGATCTTCACACATTTCTCRTGAGGTGGGCATAGAAATATTCGTTCATTAAAAATTAAGTTTGCCCTGATGAATAATGTATATTATAACTTTCCATTCACCATCTAYATTTGTGTGTTGGCAGCACACAACTACAGCTTCCTGCCTTTCCCTCACTGCATTATAACCAATTTTCTCCTGTTCTTTCTCAACACAGATGCTGAATTTGTCCTGTTTGTATCCCTCGTTCTCCCAAATGCTTCCCTTTTCTGAATTTTGTTTCCATTTTTCTGTCATGTTACCTGCATGGTGCATTTCCATCTCCTGCCAGGTTACTCCACTGAAACACCAGTTTGGGGCCTGTTTTTCACTCTCTTCACCACTGTTCCCCTTGGGCCCAGCTGCCTCACCAGAGGCAACCATGTCTTTTAATGGGCACTGCCTTGTTTTTTATTCCCTACGTTATAGTTAGAAGACGTTCTTCTGCTTTCCCTGTCTCCCTCAGTGGAGGACAGGTCTCCCCCAGTCTTGACTCACCTCTCATTGTCCCACCAGTGAGCCTCTTCCATCAAAAGCTTCTTGGAGTTGCTCTCTTTTCCTCTCGGCAAGTCCCCTTTTCTTCTCCCCTCCTCTCAGCAGGCAGCCCTCCTCTGCCTCTCCTCAGCCTTGCCCTGGCCATGGCTGGTGCCCCTTGGGCTCAGCACAGCCTCCCCTGCCATCATTTTCCAAAGTGCTGAGGCYCTGGCTGTCCCGCTCTCCCGGCTGCTCGCTGATCCCCACTCTGAACAGGGCCAGGTTCCATGTGTGAGTTGGCTGATAGGAGGCACCCACGGGCTGCCAGAAGATTCCAGCCTGGGAGGGATGTCCCTCAGTGTTCGGGAGACACTCGAGTGTCCTTCAGCCTAGCTGTGAAAGTTTTGGGCCACCAGGAAAAAGTTTGAGTGAGAGTGACGCTGCTACACCTTTGGCATGGTCATGTTTGGTCCCTGGATTACGGGAGAGCAGAGAGGGCCCAGCTTACTCACATGGCTCCCCAAGCCCTCACTGCTTCCAGAAGCTGTTTCCAATCACACCTTGCTCGAGGTTCTGAAATGTTTTGACAGTTGTTACAGTATGTCCTACTTCCAGCTCRTACAGGAAGCAGACATGTTGAAATCACAGAAGAAAGCAAGCCTGTTCATCTTGTATTTCTGGCTGAGGCTGGAAGTGGAGTGCAAGAAATCAATTGTGTCTCATCTATTGTACAGGGAATTATCTTGTAGCTCGCTGCATCTGTGTGGTAAGTTCACAACGAGCTTTGTCCTAATAAGATTCCCATTGCAACCTGGAAGAGTCAAAGTTGGTATTTTCTGATAAGCACTGCAAGTTCTGTGCTGAGTCACAATGGATCTCAAAGGCCTTAGCAGGAACTGGGGTATAGTTAGTGATGCACTTGACAAATAGACACCCAAAACAAAAAAAAATTTTGGTATTTAAGCATTGAATTACATGTATAAATTTCTCATGGGTCAGCCTGAAGTTCTGTCRTAAGATTTCACCAGACCTTTTGCAAAGGCAGTGTGTTTGCAGACACCAGATGTGGATGGACCTCAGTTATGGTCTCACAGATCAAGTGAATTTTTTATTTAAATCCTCCTCTTAATGATAAAAATGCATTGTCCTTTGCTATTCTATTTTTTGRAAACCTGTGGTTTGATGAGTGTACATGAGGCACTATTTCCTTTCAGCAATCCAAGTATAAGCATACATTACTAATAATACTTTAAATGGAAAGCATAGCTAGTAAAGACAAAAGTTCAAACATTATTAAAAATATCCCATATTACTTATGAAGGTGCATACTTCTGAAATGCCTATGAGCTAAGAATGCAACTTTGCAGGCTCAGATTAATAGCAGTTTTGTATATCTATGGCCATCAAACATTTTCACTGACTAATAACCTCCAGTGATGCAGATCTGTGCATTGAATCAAGTCTTGTTTTGTAGATACACAGCATGTGACATCTRGTATATGCAAAAGTTACAAGAGTGATGAAAAGTGAACAATAGTGGTTTAGRGGAAAAATTAACTAAAGATCGTTACACAATTAGCATTTGAGAAACTTGTAATTCAACTTCAGATACTCATTTCATCCAAGATTATAAACAGAACTGACTGTTTTCCACATCTTTTAATTGACAGATTAAAAAGTGCTTTTCATTTAAGAGACACTAGGAATCTGTGGATTCCCACTGTCTGTGTTTAATTCTGGCAAATAATATGTAACAGTAATAATGAATTGAAAATATTCAAATTCAAACCATTAACTAAGCACAAAATCCTCTTCCTCCTTGTAGTGAATTGGAGTCTTATTCTGTATGTACTAAATCAGAGCTCTTACATTTTTACTTGCATTCATATTGACATTCAAGGACTCTGTAATAATCTGTTTTTCCTTCTGYACTAAGAACAGTATTGGCACTGCAGCTACTGGTGACTTCAAAATATTATTACAACTGTGGCCTGTGATACAGGAAAGCTGGCAAAATCAGAATGCTTTATTTATAGTGGACTGAAAAGTTTTGCAGTAGATTATTTGTCTAAGCATATATAGTCTGTCAGTCCTCTATGAAAAGAGGTGTCTACTCTTCTGTTTACAGGAGTAGTGGAGCCCTTTTTCTGTGCCCTCACGTATCATCATAATTGGCACAATTGATACAACTCACTCAAATCTATCGTAGCATAAACACTGGCATTCTATTGAATTATATGTTCATGTCACAGTAGAATTAAGCACTTATGAATATTTCTGAAGTTGTTTGTAACCAATGGAGCAAAATTAAAGTCAAGCTCTTATAAACAAATACAAATGCAAAGTTAGAGATTGTATGGAAACAGAGTTAGTTTTGGTGGTGAAAAGACCTAACAACACAGCCTTGGTAAACACAATATTTAATAACAGTACGATAGGAATTGGAATTGAGAGATAAATCTACATTGGAGGGTTTAGAAATGGTCTTGTGTAAAGAACTTATGGGTGCACAGAGCCATGCATGTATGTCTTCTAAATTTGTAGAGGGAAAACTTGAAGGATATCTCTGGGTTCTGAAAGTGCTCATATGGGGTGAATTCCTCCAGGGTTTAATATTTTTGCCTATGGAAATTCTTACATCAGCTGACAAAACCCCCTCAGTCTGTCTTTGTCAATCTGAATCTTAACGTAGCCAACTGTTCTGTTCAGTTCTCACCCTACATTTGTAGTGTAAGAGTCTATGAGCATGTTGTGTCAGCCATGGGATTATTGGTCCTAGATTTTGCAAAATTTCCCATACACATTTAAAAAAAACCAGCAGATAATTATGAGATTTGGCAGATGCCACAGACATAATTGTTTTCAGCAGCTACAATGGATGTTTTAAAAACATTTCCACATTCAAGCCTTTAGTTCATTTAGGGCTAGTGAAATATAATCCTTCCTATTGTCTTCCACCCTCAGGACATCCTCTAGGGATAGCAAACAGCAGGACCTCCCTTTTACTCAYTTCTCATTGCTTTTCACCTGCCTGTCTCACCTTTTAGGTCACTGCTTCTGGTAATTTCCTGGGCTGCCTCTCTGATCTGCTGCCTCTMCAGGTGTCTGGACTTTGCAAAGGCTTCAGAAAAATCATGCCTCAATGTAACTATTTCATCAAAATGGAACCATGTCTGGAAAGAAGGTTGAACTCATCAGCATTTTATTTCAAAAAGTAACATGGATAAGAAGTTCCATTGGTATCAAAATATTATGTGTTGGTAATAAAGGCATGATGCTGATGTCACTGTCACTTTGCTTTTCTCCTGTTCTTCTCTCAAACTTGACCTGACCTGTCCTGGGATTGAACATTGGAAGTGTTCTCACCGTAACATGTTTCTTGTGCTCAAAGATCACAATTAGGCTGACCTCAGCACACAGCAGAAATGGTTGGAGTGGCAGAAGACAACCAATGGTACACTTGTGATCTTGACTGATGCATTAATACCCATGCCCTGCTTGCAGCACACGTGGCCACACATCAGTGAGATGAATAGAAGTTTTCCTTTCTTTTCTGCTCTTTCACTTCCCTACTCTGTTTACCTAAGCAATGGGAGTCATCCTAACAGTTGCTAGCAGGAAAAGATACATCTTTTTGTCCCTCAGGAAAGACATTTGGTAAATTTGGAATGAGCATCTAATTCTCTCCAGGATGCTCTGAATGTAAATTTGGAAWGAGGAATTTTTCCAAATAATCATAGTTTAAATGTCGAATTCCAAACATATTTATTTTCTTTGCTTTTTTGTTGGCGCRTGTTGCATACATGCTGGAAGAGATTTCTTATTAGTGGTTGCTATGGTAAAAAGYAGTCCCCAGTCCTTTTAGTAAAAACCCATGAACTGCAATTAACTGTTTAATGTTGTAACAGGCAACAGCTCTAGTAACACCTTAACAGCTTTGATACTCCCATCATCTCAGCAGATGGTGATTTTTGGCATTCTGTATTTTCAGTTTATTCTTCTCCTTTATAATCCTTGCCATTATATCTTTTGACAAATGTTTCTGGACTAACTTAATTGCAGTTTGATTAGGCTGAGAAAGCCCTCAGATCTCTGATTTCTTTTTATTTCTGTTAAAGATGACCAATAAAAATAGAAAAGAAAAATTGCATGTGTATCCCTGTCAGTAATTATAAAACATTATTTTAAAGTAAGAATCTGATTCTTCTCATCTATAACYATAAAAATACAATCTTGAAACATGCTTAGTATGGCATAGGAACCCTACATCTGAACAGAAAATGAGATATAAATGATTCTTTTGTGAAGAAGGAGTAACTCTCACTGTTTGTCAAGAGTCTGAATTAAGAGTTACCAATTTCAACTAATTTTACTGCAGGGAGTTGCCCTTATTATTTCTATAGCAATGGAGACTCAGGTCCTCATAAATTTTGCTTATTTATTTGAAGATKTGTGACTAATATAAATACTTTAAAATAGGGAGTTTCAATTAAATTTAGAAAAAAATTCAACTTTGCCAAGACATTATCAAAAGCAAGATTGCCTCGTGAAACTAATTTTCATCTACCCTTTTCATCTCCCTTTTTCTGTCATATAATGCAGTTGTATTCCATCTCTTATTTTTTTTCACTTAGAAATAAATTATTTGGATTTAAAATCAGCACTATTATTAATTTTTCTCTTTAAAGGAATTTTATGCATTAGGCAGGCAGAACAATTCAGATGTTTAATTCTGTAATACAGGACCAAATAAACTTTTTTTAGTTCCTTTAGCAGCAGTATTAGCTTTTCTGCTTTTTTTAGGAAAAGAAAACAAGAGGGGAAAAGGAAAAGAACAGTTTTCCCAGAATCATAACAAGATAATATTGCAGTTTCAGGTTCTAAAATATGAATGTCTCATTCACAGCTATTTCCTGGCTGACTTCAGGATTCTATGATTATTATTTATTCAGTGCTGATAGTGTGCTTGACATTGTACAAATATAGAAAGAGATATTCATGTGGACTATCTGCCAGGATTTCCTAGTTGTTAGTGGCAGTGTTAGCCTCTTTAAGCAAAAGCTTGAGGCTGTCTCTAAAGCAGAGATGCTTATCCATCCTGCCAACATGCAGCTTCATGCAKATGACCGTGGGAAACAGTGCTCAAATACACAGGGCTTTGGAAGGATGGACCCGGTGGAGTTTAATTTAATTAGTACAGCAGCAGTGCAGAGCTCTAACTAATAAAATCTGTAAGACCAGTCATGGTAATTTCAAAAGCTGGAAATTTTTTAGAATTTAGATTCCCATAGATTAATGGGAAGAAATAATCCTTCTGATTTGATACTTAAAGAATCAAACAAAGACTGTTTGCCTGAATATTACATGGTTTAAAATCCTGTATCTTCTGTGAAATCTATGAACTGTTTTGCAAACTTGTTTGTAGGACTTTACTGATGGCTTGTGTGCTTAATTCACCTGGACAGTGATGGTGYCCCTCAAGTTGTTGCTGTCGTTTGCAGATTCTCCATTGCCAAACTGACATCTGCCCCTGGCTTTGTCAGAGACAATGTTTTCCAAATGGTAGCATGGAAGGCTTTTGTCCAGGACTAATTTCTCATGTTAGAGACGTTCTACAAATAAAAAAAAAAAAAAAAAAAAAAAAGTGAAAAATTTTAGTCTAATTGGGAAGAATGTTTGTCTTTTTATTACGAAAATGTTACTATCTTTGGATTTCCTTTCCAATGTGGTCACAGAATCATTCTAAGTATCTTTAGTGGCACTTCCTTGACTTTATGCATGAAAGAGTAGAAGGTTTGCTGTCTGCTGTTTCATAGATAAAGAATATCTTTGTCATGATCACATATAAAATCCCGAAATCCCTTCAATAGAACCAACTTGCAATGAATGAAAAGGTGGAATGCAAATACTGTCCTTGTTTTCTCCCTGACTAGGATAAACATTTAATGATCTGATTCCTTCCCTTACCCCAACAGAATGAATGGATGATGACAGTAAGCTTATCTCTTTGAGATGGTGATACCACCCACCCAAGCTRACACTGAAAGGCCTTCCCTAGAGCAACACAAATCTTATATGGGAGCCAGAAATGAGCACATCTGCCACGTATTGTACAGAAGCAGCCAAACCAAAAAGACTCATAGAAAAATAAAAAACCTCTGAGGGATTTGAAAACTGAAGTTAGATATCTTGAGGTCAGTTCAGAACTATGAAATAAGTTAATCATGGATATATCAAATCCGATATATAAATTCCAATTCCTATATTAGTCATTACATCCCAAATTTTGTTTGGAAAAGGCAAGGCAGTGCTCAAATTTCCTTGCCTCTCCACCCAYCTCCCTCAAAGACTTCCCTTTAGCTTTCAAGCAATTTATTTACACTGGGCAAAATGTCTGRTTTACACTCACAGGAAAAACTTTTAATTAATTCTCATTTTACAAATCCTCCACAATATTTATTCAAAAGATTGGCAAATTCCAGAAAGTTCACCCATCCCTGAAAAAGTAAGTTTTGTAAACAAATCTGGCAACAAATTTATTTTAACAGCAACAATCCTGCTAATCTGTCAAGACATAGTTTGTTTCTGACAYTTGATTAAATTCATTTTTCTTAAGAACAGAAAATAATTTGCTACAAACAAACCATTTAGCTGGGACGTGGTGACTGTCCCTCTGCTATTTCACAGAGCATTTAATTCAACAGAAAAAAACTCACAATATAATGTTTAACTCACAATATAATTTTAAAAAATTTAAACAGAAGCAAGGCTTAATTTCTATAGTCACAAACAATAATAGCATTAGAAGCTTTAGGGTCTTTAAAATACATTTTTGATGTATCCCACAACCTGGACCAGCATTACTCCACATCTCTGAACATAAACAAAGGCCGTGTTTCAGGCTGTGGTTCSACAGGAACTTTCTTCCCAGTCCCTGTTTCCTGGCCATTTGTTCTTGGACATGTCATCCACTTGCTCAGCTCTTACCCAGCCTCAATTCACAGTTTCCTGTGCAGCAACACCAGCAATTGTGCAGGCGCATTAGCCTGGGGCAGCCCAGGCTGATATGAAATGACTGAATGGACAATGCAGCTTAGTCTGGTTTCATAAAAAAAAATGTCCACGTCCAGAAAAATGTTTTTTGCCAGGGAGTAGTCTCAGTAAAGTAAAATAGACAAACCCTGCCACTTGCCATTAATGTCCGTTGAAACAAAAGATAAATAGGTGCTGCTGTTCAACTTATATGGACATCACCCTTCTTTGCATTAAGACTTCATCCAGCTGGACTGCTGGGTGTGTGGGCATTTTGGGGTGTTCGCCTATTGATTCTTAAAGAGATTTGGCATGTTATCTCATTGCTGCTCCTTAGCACAGAAAAACAATTTGTGAAAAAACAATTTACGTTGCAGCTTCATGAAACTGCATGTCCTGGTGTAAAAGCTCAGTCGGTGCAAACTTAAGTACAATCCTGGCAGCTTGTAACAGGATGTAAAACCTGCCATCCATCTTTCCTGCCACTTCCCCAGCTCCTTCAGACTTAAAAGATTGATCCAGATCCCAGTGAATTCAGTGAGAGCTTTCTCTGTGTTCTGGATCCAGCAGTATGCAGCCTCTTAAGGACAGCAATTAAGATATTGAGCTAATGTTAGTAACCCTTTCCTGCCAGCCTAGAACACCCAAACTGAGTCAGGCTTCATTTCATGCAAAAGTCTGAGGAAATCAGTTGGGTTTGTGTTGCATCTGAAAGGTCAGTTTGTGTCCCCATGGACCAAGAGGTATGGGGGAATTCCAGAATTTACTGCCAGTTTCTTGCTACTTATTTCTGGAAGCTGTTAGCTTAGATATTTTTAGCTAAACTTAGTTATGGGGAAYATAGGTGATAAGAGTGAGGGCTTTGGAAAGTCATGTTTCCAGGTGCTTTAAAAGGCATTTGTAATCTACCATCCTTACTTTTCAGGTTCCTTTTTAGATGGAATTTTAATTCACATTTTGGACACTCAGGACAGTGCACATATTCTATTTCTTTTCTAATACYACATATAAGGACTTTGCCAAATGAACCTCTCTCTAAAGCAAAGAAAATAATCCTAAAAATCCTGGCAGAGTTTGACATCAATAACTTTATACACTGCATACATACACAATTGTTGTGAGATATTTTCTTACCTAAATAATTCCTCATTTGGAGGAATTTCAGATGCATATTTTTGCAGCATATTTAAAAAGAGTGTAGAAAAGAAAAGGATTTATATTTGATGTAAGGATTTATATCTGATGAGGTGAAATAATTTTTTTTTAAATATGCATATTAACTTAGAAGCCTCTTGCTTAATTGGCACTAATGCTATTTAAAAGAAAAGGAGTGGTGGGTGTCTAAAAGTTTTTCAGGTTGAAAAACAATATTCTTTTACATTATTTACTCAGGTTCTCTTAGTGATTTACTCCTTTCCTTTATGTGTCTAGTGGATAGAATAGTGGGAAAGTCACAACCACAAGCAATAACATGGAAATTAACCCAGAGGTACTGGTGGGATATTTAAGTAATTTAAAGTCAACATATATAAACATGATGTTGCTGGTTTGAAAATCTGGACATTGTTTGCAGCTGGAAGATTTGATTACTTAACTGATTTTGATTTACAGATTGCTTTTGAAAATCAACTGCTGGTTTGAATCTGCTCCAGATGGGCAATGACTGAAAACTCTTATAATCTGGTATTTGGTAGCATAGGTAAGTGAGCTCATTAAAAGTATCTCAAACATATGCACTGATTAAAAACCCCCTCATCTCAGGCTCAGCAGGGTTTTGGCTGAAGGGAAMTGAGCTGCTCTGTCACCCCTAAGGGCCCTTTCTGGCATGACAACGGGAGGAGCTTCATAATGCTGCTGCACACAGAGGTGAATATGAAATGTCTCTTGCTCAGAGTGCTGGTATG